GGGGGGGTGGGGGGGGGCTATATTAAAATAGTTATTATACACATTATCAGGAAACTATTTTTATTTAATTATTACAGATAGCCAACAAATAAAAAAAAATATATATATATATATATATATAAAGAATGCTTTTGTTTACTATTTCGTAAAAACAGCATGAAAGCTCTTCCTGGAGAAACGTCCTTTCCGGTAACGTCAGATCCGGTGAAGCATGGCGGCCGCCACGAGACTCGGACCAAAGACGAGCCTGCTGGTTCACCTGCTTATGTTGAGCTGGTATGTGTTTACTATCTGGAGTAACTGTACTCTGCAGATCTCAGACAGACACCCCGGTGTGCGATCATACGGAGGACGCTGGAAATACCTGACGTTTATTAATCTGGTATGAGCCTGAGTCCTGCACTAGTGTCACCGCGCAGCTCGGATCAGGCGTGTCACCTGTGTGTGGTTCTGGTTCTGTTGCAGGTGTCGCAGGCGCTGTTGTTCGGCTTGTGTGTGCTGGCGGATGCGGTGCACGGCGCTGTGTCCGTCACGAGAGCCAGAGACTTTCACTTCACCGTGCTGGCCTTTCCCGTCGGGACCGTGAGTATTAGTAACGTCAGGACAGATTAGGTTTGATAACGAATTAGGGCTTTCTTGTATGAGCGCAGAAAATGTCAGAACTTACAATAGCCCCTAAAATATTTACTTCGACTCAATGTACACTTGCAGGGCTCCAGACTCATTCTTCCCACTGCTCGCTCTTTTGCGACTAACTTACTCTGTTGGTCGCAGGAGCACATGGTGTGGTCGCAGTGTTTCCCCTGCCTGCGGCCCGCCCCCTCGAAGGTCAAGTTCATTTTATTTAATTATTTTCTCTATAGCGCCAGATCACAACAGAAGTCATTAAAGTTACCTTTCCTATAGAACAGGTCTATACCTTGTTCTTTTATTAAGCAAACTAAATAGCTTTATGTTATTTATCTTATTTACACGACGGCATGCCGTCTCACTAATGAGGACATAAATACATGAACAGCATCTCCAGAACTGCTCTGAGGGTCACTTCATCAGCATTTGACCGTTTCATTTCAGTAAAACTGTCCTCATATCACACACACAGACACAGAAATGTAAAGGTATTCACGGCAACCCGTCAAAATAAGGGTTTGGTTTAACTTGAAGACATTGCGGCAGATATATTACTATTGTTCAGCAGAATGTACGTAACAGGCTGCTACTACTACTACTAAAATTATTAAAACCTTATTTTTAAGGAATAGGCATTCAATATTTCTTCAATGTTTTAATTGTAATATTAAATTACCTTTATTTTCCAAAAAATAAAATTTGTTTAATTTTCATTACTTAAAAGATAGATTAAATGAATGTCTTATGCCTTAAAAAATTTAAATACACAACACAGAATTTCTGAGGAAAAAATCCTATTCACGGCAACCCGTCAAAATAAGGGTTTGGTTTAACTTGAAGACATTGCGGCAGATATATTACTATTGTTCAGCAGAATGTACGTAACAGGCTGCTACTACTACTAAAATTATTAAAACCTGATTTTTAAGGAATAATCATACAATATTTCTTAATGTTTTAATTATTATTATTATTAATGTATTTCTTAATATTAAATTACCTTTATTTTCCAAAAAATAAAATTTGTTTAATTTTCATTACTTAAAAGATAGATTAAATGAATGTCTTATGCCTTAAAAAATTTAAATACACAACACAGAATTTCTGAGGAAAAAATCCTAAGGCTATTGTAAGAATAAATGAAACTTGTTTTTATGCTTTCATATAATTAGACATGCTAAAACACATAATTTGGTAACAATAAAACAGAAGGTTGGGAGAAATAAAACATTTCATAAGGATTTTCATAAACTTACATTTTGTTAAACATTTAATAAATTGATGTTAAATTGTTTTAAGTTTCATGATTTTAGTTAATTAGACATGCTTTTTTATTAATAAAATTTAATTTGATAAACCATTAAAAAGGTTAAATCCAGAGAAATTTTATCATAGTTTATAGTTATATGGAAAGAAAGTGGTTAACGTTCAACCCGTTATTTTTCATCAGTATTATTTGTGATTGAGTTTTGTGAACGGAGATCCTCTTTTGCTGTGTTATAAGCCGCGGGCTTCGGATGCTTTCACTTTCGAATTCGTGCTCTTGTCATGTTTACAAGAACTGTTTCTACACACCTTTCACTTTTTAAGACTAAAACAGAAGATGGATTCACGGTTATTCTTAATTAAAAAGCACAACAACAATAAATCAGTAAGATACATTAACAAACTAGCTTACAAAACGTTTATTAACAAAAACGAATAAGATGAGGCATGGCACACAGCACATGCTGTATTATATACCGACTGATAAATTACAGAACGTTTAGCAAACACTGAGGAATCAAATAAATAAAAGAGAGCTTCGCATAAGGTGAGGTAAACAGCAAAGATAACAAGCTTTTCAAAAAGAAGAGTAAAACTAAACTTGCTGTGGGTGACAGTGCTTGCATGTTTTTGTCCCCACATGAATCACCATTTCTGGTTTAAGAAGCGATCTTTACTCTAGCTTGAAACCCATCCATCATTTCAAATCAACTATTTGGTGGTAGTCTGGAGCCCTGACTTACCTATTCACCTAAAACTGACAAGTCTCTCTTATACTCTGTTTTCAATATCATAAAGGTTTGAAACAACATGAGAATGTTGTTTCAAACCTTTATGATATTGAAAACAGATCATTTCAAATCAACTATTTGGTGGCAGTCTGGAGCCCTGACTTACCTATTCACCTAAAACTGACAAGTCTCTCTTATACTCTGTTTTCAATATCATAAAGGTATGTTTTCAATATCATAAAGGTTTGAAACAACATGAGAATGTTGTTTCAAACCTTTATGATATTGAAAACAGGATGGGTTTCTAAAGAATACCTGGTCGCTCTTTTTATTACAGTTAAAGTCAATGAGAACTGGGGCTGTCCAGCTCCAATATGATGACACAAAAGTCGAAGTATCATCTGACTTGTGTGCTATATTTCATATATCATACTGAAAATTAGCTAAAAGTTTAAGTTCTCTTTCAAGTTGTTATGTGTTTGAGTAAACTACAGATTTTATTATTGGTTAATTTATTTAATTATACAAAATAATTCATTTAACATATTGCTATTTTTTGAGCATGACTGTCCCAATGATGTCACAGTATTTTTGGAAAGACTAAATGCACACTGTTAATATTAAAACAGATGGCTCCTCATCAAAATCATTAGAGCATTTATGATAGCAACTTTTTTAGGCTTTATAGAATTTCCCATGCATTCTTAGAATTATTTGAGGTTACAGTTTTTGTAGTTTTGAAAGTGGTTCTATAGTATGTGACTGACTGATAAATATCATGGGCATTAATTATTTTTTCATCAGGGTTTTAGGTTCAATAAGTGGATGTGAATGTATAAAAGTATAAGCTATTAATGGATTGATATCGGGCTCATTAATTAACTGATAACTGCCTGTTCAACAAAAGTGGTTTGTTTGATGCCGATGCATGCTGTCTTTTATTATTACTTTTTATTTTTTTTTGTGAATATATATATAGTGTAAAATAAGTGTCCGTTTCAATCATTTTGTGTATTATTTAAATCGGACGATGGACAGCCTGCTCTCTTGATATTGGTATCATCAGTGGTTATTACAAAACCTTTATTGGTCGACTGCTAATGTGAACTTTGAATTTATTGACGTTTTCGATCCTGATCTTCTTGCCTGCAGTTTGTGTTCATTTCTTTCTGGACTCTCTACACTTACGACAGAGAGCTGGTGTATCCAAAACTGTTAGACGAGATCATTCCCATCTGGCTGAATCATGCAATGGTGAGTGCATTGTTTTAGAGTTATGTACTGCAGTATTGGCTGACCTTTGTGACCTGCGCAGCATTAATCCAGCTCTCATGTACTGCAGTATGTGGAGTAGTTCAGGATTTGTGTTGTGTTTTTCCCCAGCACACAGTGATCATGCCGCTGCTGCTGCTGCAGATGTTCCTTCAGAATCACAGATATCCCAGTCGCACTAAAGGCATTTTCAGTCTGGCTTTATTTGCTGCCCTGTATCTGTCATGGTAATCTCGTCTGCTTGCATGCTTCACACAGACCTAAGCAAAGTTTAGTTTTGTTCTGGTCTCTCTGGTTCATGCGTCTGTCTCTCACTAGGGTGCTGTGGGTGCACCATGCGTCAGGGATTTGGGTGTATCCTATCATGGCTCACTTGAGTCCTGTGGGATTGTGTGTTTTCCTCGGAGGCGCGTCGCTCTTCATGGCTCCTCTTTACCTGTTAGGAGAGAAGCTCAGCCTCATGATGTGGAGCAGCACAGGTGAGAAAGTGGACCAAAACGGCCATTCGATTGAACCATTTTTTAAAACTCTTTCCCTGCCAGCATTTAAAAAAAAAAATAAAAAAATTGCCAGCAATGTTCTCTCATTTTTTTTTCTTGCTGAGCAAAACTTCCCTATTGGGCAGACATTTCGGCCATCTGAGCAAAAACATTTTTTATAGCAGAGCTGTACAGCGCACACAAAACGGTGTGCTACTTTTTAACTTTAATGTGCTATTTATATTTGATTTGACCCTTGATGTAAATAATGCACATTTTAGGTTACCTGAGAATTTTTATAACAGTTCTGTGTTACCAAGAAATTCTATAAAAAATCAGAAAAAATAAAAAAAAATCAGAACGGTTCAATCATTTGTTATAATACATATTATGTATTATAATATAATATAAAACATGAAGCAGATATTGCTCATGAATTCCCTTTTTGAGGTCAATTATTAATTTATAATATAATATAAAAACAAACTGAAGCATTTAAACTGATAGAATAGAACATAATAGAATAGAATGGAACAGAAAACAAACTGAAGCATTTAAACTGAGATCTGTACGCTAAATATTTTCAAAGAACGTGAACATGTGAATTCTTATATAGTTATCTAAGTAGAGTTTAGAGAGGTAGAGTTTGCACACTACTGCACCTGTGTGACTGTAAATGTGTCAGAGTTTTGTTACCATCATCTGCTATTAATCAAGCACTTAAGCACTCTTCTTTCAAACATGATGAGGTTTTATTTCACATGTCATTACGTTTGCGTTTCTCTCGTGTTGAGCTGTTTCATCCTCAACTATTAAAAGTATTTGATTTCTACAGCGACTCATTTGGCGCACACATAGACTGTATAAAGCATGGACGTAGTGTCCGTGACGTCACCCGTAGGTTTCTGAAGTGTGTTTTTGAAGCCCAAAGTGGCCATCTTGGCAGTGCGTCACTCCTGGATAATCGAAAAGAGGCGGGACGTGGGTGGAGCTGGTTGCTGAAGCCTAGCTCGACGGTGGTGACAGCAGCGGCAATCCACCTGTCACTCAAGTGGCCATGCCCTTAATTATGCAGAACTTTAAGGCTTAATAGAATTTAAACGGATGAGTTATAAAAACATTCACCCCCCCCCACAGTTGTCATGAAGGGCAAAATTTGCTATATAGAACAAAACCACTTTTTGTACCAGGCTGTAAACATGTTTTTTTCTGCTGTAAAATTGGGCATTTTAACATGGGGACTCACTTTTGGAGCCAGTCTCTAGCGGCCAGTTGATAAATTGCAGTTTAAGTCACTTCCGTGTTGGACTCGAGAGTAGAGGTTTTTTTTAGTCCCGCTCCCGCAAGGTTATATTCCGCACCCACCCGCTCCCGCTATATATTCACTCTTTGTTCACCCGCTGTCCGCTTACAATAATTTTCTGCCCGACCGTTCCCGCTAAATTTATATCTCCTTTCCAGAATCTCACATTTAAGTTTCCGCTACTGAAAGAAAGAGAGATGGGCTGACGAATAAAATTGTAGTCTGCACAAAATTGTATTTATATAAATCGTCTTGTCAAGAGTCTTGAAGTTATTTACCGCAACTGCTGCCAACACAGTCGGGAAAAAAAGTGTCACAGATAAAATAAAAATGTTGTACAAAAATTGTATTTCTTATTTTTATTCGTCTTGTCAGGATACAATTCGTTAAACATTTAAAACAATAGGAAAAAGTGTCGCAGAGAAAAATAAATAGGCTACGATATCTGTCATTTAAAATGATAGGCAAAGCAAAATATAAACAAAACTGAGTTGAACGTCCTTCAAGGACAGCGCAGCCACACTTTGCTCCATCCTTATTCTGCTCTGTCACTCATCGACAACCTGCCTGTTCTGTCTGAGGGCCGTATTTACCACCGGTAGTCCTGAGTGCAGGCTACCGGTGGTCAATCAGAATAAAGGACAGATATGTTATTCTGAAAGGACGTCGGGAACGGGATATTGTTACACGACCCGCTCCCGTTCAAATTACACCAGAGTTACCGACCGCTACCGCGTTTTATTCGGGAATTTAATCCCGCGTCGCAAGAAATCTGGTTGGGTCCCGCGGGAACGCAGACCTCTACTCGAGAGAGAGAGAGAGAGAGACCAGCCTTGCGTCTCAATGTTCATATTATCCATCCTAAATAGTTTGTGATATTAGAATAAGTGTGTCCCAAAGCATAGTATGTTGAAAAGAGTATGCCAAAAGTCCCCGGATGGTCTACTATTTCAGGTCGATTTGTGAAGTGTGGATCCGAGCACACTCTAATGGCTAAAATTTGCCCACAATCCATTGCGTTTTTGGTGAAGGATTCTGTTCAGAACTACAAACACGAATAAAACGCAAAAAAAAAAAATGGCGGATGCGCGTGACTGGCGGTTAGGTATGGTGCGTTCAAGTCATGTCGGATAGATCGTATTTACGAGTTGAACGCACATGAACGCCACCACAAAGTTGTTATTATGAGTGGGAAACTTTCATTTTCTTTAAGCCCTGAGTTTCTGAGTTGGGGGCGTGTCAATGAGAAACATGGCGGAATCGATGGATGCAACGTCTATAGTTGACGGTACATTTGTTTAAATTGATAGTTTAGTTGTCCTATAAACTTAAATTGGTCATGTTCTTGTTACGCAGCTAGTTAATGAAATCCAAGTAAATTAAAATGCTATCATTTTTGCACCTATAGGTGAAAAATCTTTTGATTTGCCATGTTGCATTTAGCTAACAGCTTTTTTTAATCTCTGTATTTTAACATCATAAAATCAGTTATACTGGGATCCTGGTCTAAAAAAAAGATTAAAAACGCAAAACACACCTGATGCGAATTCTTTGCTCTTCATTTTCTATTAGCAGAGTTAACAGACCCTGTTGTATTTTCTTGTAATTTATTAAAAGGTACACCGCCATCTTGTGCCGACTAAACGGACTTGAACGCACCTGACGTCGTAATTACGACTTGTCAACTCGTAAGAACAAACGTCCCAGAAGGACTTGAACGCAGCATTAGAGAGGTTTACAAAAAGGGGTTTGTTATTAATATTCAACATTTAACCTGGCAAAAAATATTTAATGTTATCTGTGTTATATTTCATCAGCAACAGCAATGTAAACGTTTATAAACATCCTTTGGTCGTTAACTTTTAAATTCATCATTATGCAGAAAATATGAGCAGAGTTATGAAAGACTGGCAGATCATTTCATTAACTGGCAGATCAACGAGCTACTACTTTTCTCTCCGATATGGTAGGAAGTTAAATGAAATGAAAAGTGGAGGATATAAACTGTGAGAAGTTGATTGACAGGCCAGTTTACAGTGACGGTGCGTGTAACTGGTGCGACAGAGCGTCCGTTAAAGACGCAGTTGTATGACGTGATAGTATGTCCCAAAGCTTGCCTACTCTTTTACTACACACTCAAAAGTGTGTACTTTTTCTTCACCATAAGAGTACATACTTTAAGGGCGTAGTATAAGTAGGCACATTGGGACACAGCACGGGAGGTTGCCGCTTGGCAACACCACACACCATTCTCTTTCTGTGAAACCTGTAAACCTGCATTCAGCGGCTCTAACTCTATAGCGGTTTGCCCGAGCATTGCAATTATTTCACATTTACTAGAATTCAATCAAACGGCTTTCCCAACTAATTTTTTTCGTGTTTGTCCTGCGCGCGGCATATTATTTCTTCTGCACTGCCGCGACATAAGAAGTGTGCAGCTTAGAGGGGACATTGGTTGTCAAACATTAATTTTTGCTAAACTTTCCTGGCCCCCAGAATAAATCCTTAGCTTCATGCAGTCCTTTTTATCGACACTTTAATGTGGGAAAGTTTCATTAACAACAACAACAACAAAAAAAGGTTCCGAAGGCCTCTAAATTATCGAAATGATCAAAACACAATCTTCTGCATGCCTTCAGTCATCTGATTGATAATTTACCTCTGTAGCAAGAACAAGGCCTTTTAGTGTAATTGTACAAACGTCCAGCTTCAGCTCGTGCTTCATCTGTCTATTTGCTGTGAAATCTTTACTGATTTTTATAAACTTAGGTTGTTAGTAATATTTCAAGATGAACACTTACTGGACTGAAGCATCGTTTTACTCCGTTTGGGCCTCTGGATAAAAATTAGGTGTTTTCTTTCATCCTTGAGGATGAGCTCCATATTCACCTGTATCATACTATATAGCTATAAAAGCTGATGTAGCAAATATGACACTCAACAAAAACACACATGCACACTTTTTAAAATTTCCTTTTTTTTTTTTGTCTACATTTTCAGTAAACTTCATTTCCTGTCCATTTCAAATCGCAGATTTCAATCTCAGAGTGTGGTAGATGGAATCTTATTATTATTATTATCCATACTGACTGTGATTTTTCTCTATAAGGGAATCAGAAGAAGAAAAAGAAGTAGATGTCTACTGGAATCCACATTAAGCATGTGGAGCTCAAACCAGCCAAACCACACACTTTACAGGGCACAAAGCAACAGCTTTAGTAACATTGCTTGTATTTTATACAAGACGGGTTTACAGCATACTTATGGCAAACATGGTATGTGTTTAACATTAATCGTGCTGGTATTTTATCCTGTTTGTTTTTTCCTCTTTTGACCTATTTATGTGATTCTAACAAAAATCAGTTGCACCTACAAAGTAAAATGCTGTATTTTTAAAAATAATTTCCATTATTTTAGAATTGTGAAATTCCAGACACTGTAATTTCCCAGAATGCTGTTGTTCATTAATTAAGGGACCGTCAGTACTGAGCACTTTCCCCTTCTCAGATTCATTCGTTATTTTAAAACGAGTCTGAGCTGGTTTCAAGCTGTGTGAGTGTGTCACGAGATGTGTCTGAGAGCTTAAATGACACACTTCACCTGCGTGAACTCGGGTAATCCCACCAGTGAAGCCCTTAATGTGATTTTCCGGCTTTGCCGAGAGTTTGCTGATGGACTTTATTGGAAACAAGTAAACCCAAGTAATCTGTGACCTTGCTCTAACACACGTTTAATTCACATCCAGAGAAATGGCTCTGAATTCATTCTTTCACTAACATGAGCCCTTTCAGTGACAGATTTCATGAAATAAGACTATATTTCATGAAATCTGAAAATGTTTAATAATTATATTGTCAACTTGTTGACAGTATTGAGCAGAATAGAGCGCGTCATTGTCATTATGGAGTGTTTCCTCTTCATTTTAATGTGTGAGTAAAACTAATGTAGAAAGAGTCGAGACCAGTTTGATTCCTGCACTTATATACGGTAGATTATCGCACTTGTGGGAAATATGTGATGCACTGACATTTAAAATCAGTGACACTTAAGAGGGCCAAACAGGTTTTCCGTAATTACCGTTATGTAATGATTATTAATGTCCTTTATTCATAAACAATAAAATCTCTGAACTGTTCTTTAATTCATTTAAAGTGGCTTACTGTCTTTTGTCTTTATATAGGTATTGTCATAATGACAATTATGCTTTACATTAAGCTTTCCATTGATGTATGGTTTGTTAGAATAGGACAATATTTGGCCGAGATACAACTATTTGAAAATCTGGAATCTGAGGGTGCAAAAAAATCGAAATATTGAGAAAATCATCTTTAAAGTTGTCCAAATGAAGTTCTTAGCAATGCACATTACTTATCAAACATTAAGTTTTGATATATTTACTGTAGGAAATTTACTAAATATATTCATGGAACATGATCTTTATTTAATATCCTGATGATTTTTGGCATAAAAGAAAAATCTATAATTTTGACCCATACAATGTATTGTTGGCTATTGCTACAAATAACCCCCAGCGACTTGACTTACTGCTTTTGTGCTCCAGGGTCACCGATGAGTTTGACTCTGATGCTGATGGAGGAGCAGTGCGTCAGCTGCTTGTTAACTTCCTACTTAGGAGACTCTCCTTTAATCAGATTTGCTGTAAGTCCATCAGTTTGCAAAGCTTTGAGAACCTCACCTCACTGTCATTTTCAGTTACTGGCTTCAGTAGGAGCTGCACTGGCCTCTTGATGGGTTGAATTAACAGCCGTCAATGTCTGTAAAGAAGCAATGAACTAGAGCTGAAATGACTAGAATGCAGCCAGAGCTGTGGCTGATGACGCTGTCCTTCTCTGAGGTCAGTGGCCAGAGAAATGGGCTATTTCAGGAGCAAGTGGATTAGATGGTAAATCTTGAGGGAGTCTGAAATAGCCGCTTTATATTCACTCTTTGATGTGAGCACAGAACAGCAGTACTAACTCTACCTTCAGTCAGACACTTACTGCTTAAAAATGACCAGGATGTACAGCCGATCTGGATGGATCCATAAGCTTTGCACAGTGAAGAAGAGCGTGCATCTTAAAGGAAGACAAAATAAATGATATATTGACACAAGTTATCAAATCAGCTGTGGATTCAATGCATTGAAGAGAAAGTACAGTTGATTTTCTCTAGCTGTGTTTGGGTGAGTAATAATCGCAACTCATTCTCTGGAATCAATGGTGAGTAAAGAAATTAACATGATGGTCGCTGAAGACTTTTTAATGGATGTCTGAGAAGCAAGTGAAATAATGGTGAATTAATGAAAAATGCAAATATCTTTTGTATGAAGACAAGTTATATCCTTATAGCTTTGAATTGCTGGAGCTCCATGGGTGTCACATTTCACTCCAAAACAAAACCAAACTCTATTTTGCGTAAAGGATGAAACCTGACTTTTTGCATTTTGACATTGTGACAATTAAGCACACTACCATCCCATATTGTAGTTGCTGTTTAACGTTTGAGGGGCAAATTAAAGGTAATATTAATGAACAGTTTATATAATGTTTTTGCATTATTTGAAATGGGGAGGAACTGTACTTGTACTCATCAAAAAATTAAGCCGCACAACTGTTTTCAACATTGATTATAATAAGAAATGTTTCTTAAGCATCACTGAAGACTGAAGTAACGATGCTGAAAATTCAGCTTATTGTTTTTACTGTATTTCCAATCAAATAAATGCAGTTATTGGTGAGCATTAGTGACATCTTTTAAAAAAATTATAAATAATAATCTTACTGAAAACTTTGCTTTTCCCCTTTGACATCTGCAGTGCTAATTAATTTATCATGTGCCCAAATAGATATTGCCATGGAGGAAGGAGTATCATGGACTTAGGTAAGGAATGGCAAAAACTAATGAATAAATTGATGTAATAGTCAAATAATAACCATCAGAACGATGTTTTGTCCTCTTGCCATTTTTAAAGACATTTTAAGTTGCTAATGTACTCAGTAAAGCAACCAGGATTTCCATGTCTACTTAAGATCTAGATGGCAGAACTGAGCCAGTCTCATCAACTGAGCAGATTCTTAAAGGAGCACATTTCAGACAGTCTTCTGTAAGAGCGAGTGATCACTCTGCTGATTTTATAAATAGATGATGTCTGTTTGTTTTTTAAAGTGACAGGTTCCAGCGTTCCCAGAGCGAAATACACAATGGTCCGAGAGGCGCTGTGTCATGTGATCCCCTACCGTATGCAGTGCTCCATGGGATGTGGTGGGCAGAACTGCAAGTACGAGGATCCTTCACACTGGAGTGAAGACAATCAGGCCATCAGAGGAATTTACTCGTCTTGGTACACTGCGTGCACTTACACCTGTTTACTTAAACATGGCCTTTACCAAATAAAGGTTAAGCCTTTGGCAGTCTTATGAACCGAAGCTTCTCTGTATGTTGAGTTCTCCCAGCACATCAAAATAACATGTTCATTTTTCTTTTATCAAACAGAGTAACAAAAATAACGAGTTTCTTTCCCAAAAATGATTCCTCTACAGAAAGTCAGCCGATCATCAAAGGCTTGCGTTTATTTGATTTTGCATGCCAATTTTTTAAAAAACAAATCAGTAAATCCAAGTTTTATGCAATAACAGCATGTATGAATGGATTATTCCAACTCATGGTTCCTCTGTTTTTTTTTTTAAGGATCACTGACAATCTGCTGGCCATGGCCCGCCCTTCCACCAAAATCATTGAAAAATTTGACGTAATAGACCAGTTTTTGAGGTAAAACTGATGATCGTGCAGACACGTGCCTTTAGAAAACTGGTTCTGGAGTATGTGTTTGGTACACTCATACGATTTGCTGTTTCGTCGTGTTAAGATGTGGTTTGAAGACCGTTATTAACCTCCAGTGCCCTGGTGAACATGCCAGCTGTGGAAACCCACTGGATCCTGAGAGTGGCTTTTCTTACCGACCGGAGACATTCATGGAGGCTGGCAGTGAGTGACTTGCTTTTTGTACATTGTCTGATTCTGCCAAACTTTTAGATTTCAATGCGTTTTTCTGTGTAATGTGACAATAAGAAGTTAAAGACATAAAGAATCTTCTTAACACATTAAGTAAAAGCATAGCAGTGGTTGTTCTTATATGATTAGGTTGTAAAGGTACTCTTGTTGCTTTATTTTAGTATATTTCTACAACTTTAGATGGAATGACTATGGTGTGGCGTCTCTCACATCCATCTTGGATATGGTGAAAGTCATGTCTTTTGCCATCCAAGAAGGCAAGATGGCTGTTCACTGTCACGCAGGGCTTGGCAGAACAGGTACAGTAGGTTTAAAATACAGTATATTTATAATTGAATAAAAATACATCTTTTTTGGGTGATGTGGCTTATAGGTTGCTGGTTTGATCCCCAGAAGCAGACATAAGCTATTATTATTGTGTCCTCGAGCAGCACACTTAACCCCAAGTTACTCCAGAGGGATTGTGTCAGTAATAATGCTGCCGAAAGTCGCTTTAGTCAAAATCATCTGCATAAGCACTACTCATGCAGTGAGCACAAGCTTCTAAAAATGTATTTATTTTAGGGTTTGTCATAGCTATAGCTTTATGGACAGCACTCCAGGTGACTCAAGTACAAGTCCCGGCTCATAGTCCTTTTCCATTTACACGGACTCATTTAGCCAAAGCTTTTACATTAAAGAATTATACATTTTTCAATTCATACATTCCTAGGGAATCGAACCCATGACTATGGCATGTTTGCCCAGGGCCGGATTAACACACGGCACTACCAGGCACGTGCCCAGGGCACTAGACCAGAGAGGGGCCCAGCCGAATTACCGCCGCCCCAAAAACATGATTTCAACTGAGGGGGGGTCTTCAAATCGGTCCGTGCCCAGGGCACCGGCGTATCATAATCCTGCCCTGCTAATGCCATACTCTACTGTTCAAGCTACAGGAAGGCTTTCCTGATCCCTGTCTCTCCCTGACTGTCCTCTCAAATAAAGACAAAAAAGCCCTATTAAATAGTTTTTCAATCTTGTAGTAACCGAACTGCAACATTACGAGATGTACGCTAGTTGGATATTAACTCTTTTTACTTGTTGATGTCATAGGTGTGTTGCTGGCCTGTTTCTTGTTGTTCACCACACAGATGACAGCAGACCAAGCCATTCTGTTAGTTCGAAGCAAACGAGCTAACTCTATCCAGACTAGAGGACAGCTCCAGTGTGTCAGGCAATTTGCTCAGTTCCTGGTTCCACTAAGGAACGTGTTTGCTAACGCGGAGCCCAGAGCGCCGCCTGTTACTCTTTCACAATACTTGATACGCCAGAAACATATACTGCACGGATACGAGGCTCGGAAGTTGAGATACGTGCCAAAGCTCGTCCCTCTCATCTGCAGACTCCTACTGGACATTGCAGAGAATCACCAGGTTATCGAGGAGGACGTTGTCGAGGTTCCTGACGTCACATATGTGGTAGAGAAAACGATTAATGAAAATTCAATATATCAGTTAAACAGAGAGATATTGGGAAATGGGATGATCAGGCCGCGTCTTCCAGGTCTACCCCGAGCCAATAGAAGCAACACACAACCTCTTTACTATGTCCGTAAGAGCCTTAGCTACAGCGAGTCTGACCTGCAGAGGTTAGCAGCATCTTTAAACCTCTCGGATAACCCTCTCGGGGTTTTAGCCAGCATTCACTCAACTACCATCAACGATCAGCTGGGAGCTTTCAGCTGTGTTTCCCAGAACTACGTCATTCCTTCTCTGGGGGCTTGCAAGGACAATCCCATCTACAGCTCAACCAGCAATATATGGGAGCTGAAAACTCTTATGGACCAGACAGAAGGATCTCCACTGCTCAAAACCAGGAGGCAGTCGGTCCTGCAGCGAAGCCAATCTCTAGGCGTTTCAGATGAGAAAAACACCACAAGCATCTCCCAAATACTGTCTTACTGGAGGACAGACTGCAAGCACAGTTCTGACCCTGACGAGACTCAACATAATGAAAAAGAGCATTCAGAGGTGCCCTTCATCACTGTCCAGTCCGAGCTGTCTCTGGAGTCACGTCGCCTCCTGGTGGCTCAGTCCCTTGCGGTAGACCTCGAGAAGGAGGGAGAGAAGGTGCAAATTCAGAAGGTGTCTACTTGGCAGGTAGATGCATATACTGATTTACTAAGACAGGTGTGCAGAACTGCAGAGTTTAGTTCCAACACATATACCATGTAGTTTTCGAATAAGCCTGAAGGACTTGATTAGCTGGATCAGATGTGTTCAGTTAGGGTTGAAGCTAAACTCTGCAGGGCTGTGGCCGTCCAGGAACTTAGTTCTGCAGCCCTGTACTATTAAGTATTAAAGTTAAGGGCAGGGATTGGCCACAGTACTGCAGGGTTTACTTCAATCCTTAATCAAACATACTTGAAAAAATCCAACCAAACTGTTAAGGAGTGCTTAAAAATAATAGGACCGAAGCTGCCCATCCCTGCTGTAGGATTTGTTTGAGGAGCAGAGGTGTCTTTAGGAGCCTTTTTCAGAACTTGCACACCTCCAGACATGAGTGTCCATCTTTAGCAGGATGAGTTCTGTGGCTGCATAGTTTTTAGGATATCTGCTCTATGATTTACTTTATATCCCATCAGATTTGGAGAGTTGATCTTGTGGTCCTCTTGACCTGAATCTAGGTTTTGGTGTATAGTCTCAGACGAGACTGCAGACTATTTCCATTGTACTTCAGGAGAAGTTGCCACTGTATCTTCACTGTTTTAGAGAGATTGCATTGCTGAAATACTTTTTATTTGTTGTTAGTTCATTGTTTTAAATATAGTTGAGTTCCAAAGAAAAGTTGGGAGAGAAGAAAAGTCAGCACCTGAAGAGGCGTATGTAAGTCCTAGGGGGTACTTCAGGCTTGGGTCGAGTTCAACAGCAAGCCAAACCGTGAATCGTGTGAACTTGTGAAATGCCACTAATAAGTCAGCATAATCTCTGTTTCAGTTCATTAAAATGCCTAGCCTGGTTGTTAAACCAACAGGTCAGGGGATTATGTGGTCTTCTGTCATCCAAGTACTTAAAATGAGTTTTAGCATGTAGCGTCTTATTCTGCCTTCCTCCAATCCATCCTCATAGTCCCACTGAAGACAGGCAGCTCTGCATGATGGACCTAATTGACCTATCAGTAAGCCCCGCCCACCTTAGTTACTGTTGCTCACTCGGACAAACAAACAGATTTGCTAACTGTCTTACAATGACAGCTGTCAGTGTGAAAACCTTGTCCCAAGATGTTTTTGATAAGTAGCAAACCGTGACCCTTGAGCCTAGGCCCTCCCCCCCTACCCTCGTCGGGGGAAAATACTACAGCGCCACTCACATCATTTTCCATTAAATTACATTATATTTGTCCCAAATTATTGTTAATGTACATGACTTCATCCTAGGTTGGAAGATTGTGTATTGTGCATTTTTTAGCAAAACGTTTGTCTTTCTGTGGCTCTAATAAATTCCGTGATTCATTGGGCTATAGATCGCAATTTCTCATCCCGTTTGCTGACGTGACGCGTTCAGTGTGTGATACGTGTGGCACCGGGGCACCACTGTGCTTCTCGTCCGATGTGCGACCGCAACAAAACAGCACAGCAAGAGTGACTGATATTGCCAAAATAAAACAGCTACATTTAAGTCAAATGCAAATACTCATTACAAATATCTGCACTTCAGCGGGCAAAACGTACACACTCCCTCCCATCACACAAAACCAACAAGTGTAATGTGTTTAAGACACAAAACAAATAGCGACAGACACTTCATGACAAACAAACAGTGTTTATAATAAATAATATTATTATTGGCTCAGAGGCCTAGTAAATGTCCTCACTTACGTTATTTGCGGCTTCCATCGTGACGTGAGTAATAGCTAGTTAGTTTATCAGCGTATATATTTTTTTCCGAAAGATCCCCACAGCGGGCGGAACTTGTCATAAAGTTAGTGATAACAAGGCTCGCCCATTTAGAGGAAAGATATGATTGGTCAATTTTTCTGTCATTCGAAATTACTCCCACATTGATTTACTATTGCGTGTCCCTCTGTAATTTCACAGCTGGACCTCCAGTCACAGAGCCGCAGACGCTAGGCGGAAACATTCAAATATGGAGAAAATGGGCAGTGTTCATAAGTCCATTCACTGAATACACCGATTTGAAGAGGGGTTTTTTTTTTTCACAGAAGTTGTATATATTTTATTTAGATGATGTTTGTCAAATTATGAATTGCTTAAAATTAGTAATAATTATTTTTTATTAAAAATATTATATTTTAAAACATTTATTTAAAAATTGTAAATATTGTTTTTACAATAAGTTAGGCCCTCTCTGAGGGCCTAGAGGGCCCTGACGGTTCCCCACTGTTTTTTATATATTTTGGACACAGAAGAATGACCATTCAAGTGGGACTTAAAAATGCCATGGAGGGATATATGTGACCCTGGAGCACAAAAGCAGTGTTAAGTCGCTGGGGGATATTTGTAGCAATAGCCAACAATACATTGTATGGGTCAAAATTATACATTTTTCTTTTATGCCAAAAATCATTAGGATATTAAGTAAAGATCATGTTCCATGAAGATATTTTGTAAATTTTCTACCATTAATATATCAAAGCTTAATTTTTTATTAGTAATATGCATAGCTAAGAACTTCATTTAGACAACTTTAAAGATGATTTTCTCAATATTTAGATTTTTTTGCACCCTCAGATTCCAGATTTTCAAATAATTGTATCTCGGCCAAATATTGTCCTATCCTAACAAACCATACATCAATGGAAAGCTCATTTATTCATCTTTCAGATGATGCATCTCAATTTCGAAAAACTGACCCTTATGACTGGTTTTGTGCTCCAGGGTCACATATAACAGATTTTAAAATAAATATGGTGGGTAACAAGATTAATTTGGAAGCGAGGGTTTACAGATCACAATGCAAGCGGGAGAAGCCTCATGTTACGGTCACGATTGCAGATTACAACATCCAGGATTCATGTACCGCAGGGTTGGATTAAATTAATTTACATTTAACCAGTTTAATATGGAGAGGCACTGAAATGTAGAGCTTTGTTTTTGACCTACACTGTACATGACGTGAGAAGTATTTATGTTGGTACGTTATATGGACTCACTAACTTTAACATTAGCTAGTTTTAGCCGGAGATACATTGCAGCACAAGATGACATTAACATTCTGCTTAAACAGATGAAAATTGTAACTTAATGAGAGTATGACAACCAGAAAATGAAAGTTTTTGTCTTCATTGGGATTGGGGGTGAATGCTTAGGGACATTTTGCTCTGTTTTGTTTGGGTTTAGGAAATGGAATAAAATAAATTCCATTGCCTATCCTCTCAGGATAACTGGTATCAGTGTTACAAGTACCCTAGGCACACCGTTTTGCCATTTTTGTAGCATCAAACCGATGAGAGCTTTGGAGCTTCCAATGTTTCTCTATGGCGCTGAAACCTAAAGATGTCAGAGTTAGTCTTATATGGCTATCTCTTCACATCATATAGAAAATATGGCCTAAACTTTCTGAATGAAAGATTAGTAAATTAGTTTATTCTCCTCTGCAGGCAGATCTTAATCATCAAGGTGCGTGGGAGCGACTGTGTTTGGAAAAAGACCCATTTATTCTGTCTGGAATCATGTGGTCCTGGCTGGAGCAGCTCAAAGAGCCAATCATCTCAGCTCATGATGTTCACACACTAACAGAGACCAGTCAGGACCCTCAAACTGTGCTCAACTGCCTAGATAGGGTAAGATTTAAATAGCAGATCTGTTATTTTACAATGTATTAACTTTAGGTTAGTATGGATCAATATGACTAACGAGAGACATTTCATGCGTACATTTTAATTTTGTTCCATGATGTGAATCCATTCTTATTACCATCCTCAGGCTTCAAGAGAAACAGTGATGAGTATTCTGGACTGTTTTGCTCATGTATTAACAATACCCGAGGAAGTCGAGAGCACTTTCCTGGAGCGAGCGACAAAAGCTTTCACAAAGGTACTGTGTGTGATTCTGAGATGCCCTGAAATGGTCACATGCATACTTTTATTTACCGTGGTGCTCTCTTTAGATGAAGAACACAGATGGTGGGAAGAGTGTCCACAAAATCATGAACAGGATCTTGAAGATTGCTCTGCATCATTTGAGGTCGGCTGTCATGAATGAGTTTGAGGTCTAACACATGTGACATTAACTAGCTGAACATCTTAATTACAAAGAGAATTAGTTTATTTACATCTTTGTCCAACATCAAAGATGAGCTCTACACATCTACGGCTGCAGTTTCTTTGGATGTTTTTCAGGTCTTGGTTCTGATGAGGAATCCAACATGTGATTTAGCCCACAGATAGACTGAACTATAATTGTCCCATTTGTAGAAGTTGGAAAATGCGTTTTACATGGTAAATTATTTGATGTAAAAGAAATACCATACACTGTATACGATGTGCCATTGTGCTAATACTTGAAAAGCATCGCAACTGAAACCTCTCATTTTTGTACCATGTTTGTACAGTTTTTTTGCAGTTGATTGCACACAACTAGAAATTAAATCTTCTGAGATTAGCTTTATTGCAAAGAGGAAAAGTTATAGTCATATTATAGTTATATATTTTATGCAAACAATCCCACAATTTCTTCTAACCTTTTTGATATCTATGTAAAAATATTAGTTCTAATGTTTTAATTGTCTCATTAATGTAACAGCATCGCAGGCTATACATGGATTTGGGCTGCGTTTCTCAAAAGCAATGATAGTTGATGGTAGAGACCATTGGTGGCAATGGGTCTACGATCTACTTAGGCTTACGATGGTTTTGGGGAAACGCAGCCCTGGTCAGTAAATATAAAAGATCTGAATACATCTGGTGATTATGTGGTCAGAAATCAAAGGTATAAGCCTTCAGAACATCGTTCCCATCCACTGACTCCACAGAGCCCACAATACTCGAATAATCACAGGCAACGTTGGTGAATCCTCTGGAAATACATATATACAAAAAAAGTTACTTTACCCGTCAAAACATGGTGCACGTAAAAATCACATGACAGTGTGGGCGATAATGCTGTACCTGGACCTTGTGAAGGAGCCTCCGAGCAAATGATACTGGCTTTCAAGTGCAAGTCCATGCTCTGGATCATTTCTCCAGGTCAGTATTCTGAGAGACAGGTCACGAGATGCTGTCACCACCCTAAAACTGTCCTGCAAGATAGCACAATTCATTTTATAAGTCAAACTATTCACAGGGAGAGCTTTGAAATGTATTGGTCAAACAGCTTACCACACAAAGAGCAGTGATTGGCTGTAAATGGTCTTCAAAACTAGCAACAAGTTCTCCTTTAAATGTGTAGACCTTCAGATGGTTTCCATCTGTAACTAGAAGAGAGCTGTTCCCTCTCGCCTTGAGAATGACGTCCGAACGATGGCTTAGCGCTACCTGAAAAGAGGCGACTTGCTGAGCTAAAATGGGAAGGCATGACATACTGTATCAGTAGAGATTATTGCATTGTAATACTTTTATTTGTAATTTGTAGGTGTGTACGAAAATATTAACAAAAATAAGCAACATATTTTTAAGGCCAACCTTGCGTTTCCTTTTTGTATTTGGATTCCTTCATGGTCAGGTCAAAGACTGAGAGTGTGTTGTTGTTGAAGCGGCCGTCAGAATGGATGACTGCGAGCCGTGCGGGTTGAGACGGCAGAAACAAAGCGGCACAACAGCCAGTGACTGGCAGACTATGACACAGACGGTCCTCATCTTCAGCAGGGAAACACACACTGTCACTGTAGAAAACCTCCCCAAAAACACACCAATGACATTGTTCAAAATAAAATACCAAACTTTCAAATGAGATGTCTACAATGCTATTACAGTTATAAAAAAATGTGATGCAGGGATGACAGATTATTATAGGCCCAGAGATGAGTTAGCATTTTAGCATTTCGACCTGAACTCAATGGGTTTTTTGAATGAATTTTTGGTTCAATGCCTGAAATAACATCAGTGGTCATGCAGTCGTTTGAGAGACTGGTTATCTGAAGGACATCACTAGACCCCCTGCAGTTTGCTTACCGAGCAAACAGATCTGTGGATGATGCAGTCAACATGGGATTGCATTATATCCTACAACATCTAGACAAATCAGGGACTTATGTGAGGATCCTGTTTGTGGACTTCAGTTCTGCTTTCAGTACAATCATCCCAGCACTCCTCCAGACCAAACTATCCCAGCTCTCTGTTCCTAGCTCTATCCGCCGATTAGGCATGTAACGATTCACTCAACTCACGATTCGATTCACGGGTTTGATTTCACCATTCGATTTTCTCACGATTTTTCTTTTAACAAAATGAGATTGAAGACATTATACAGTAAATGAAAAGGTGTCATTTTATTAGGCTATTGCTGCATGTTTCTTTTTGAAATTGAAATAACAAAACTAAATTTTAATTTTAAAACAAACCCCAAAATCAACCAATGCATTTTAATCATGATCCAAACTAAGATGCAGAATGAGTAGTTTTTAATCTAAATTACACTGTATACTTTGAAATTTGAAGCAAAAACAGAATTGTCTGACTGTAGTTTTGTGAAACTATGCTACATAAAACATATCTGAAGGAAACAGCAGATGCACTCTCTGCCAGCAGGTGGTGCTTATGAACAGCAATGATACAGAGTTTCCTGGGTTACCGCTGTAAACAAACAGAGTTGCCCTTATAAACAGCAATGATACAGTGTTTCCTGGGTTACCGCTGTAAATAAAGCAGCTAATGAACAGCAATGATACAGTGTTTCCTGGGGTACCGCTGTAAACAAACAGAGATGCGCTGATAAACAGC